CCACAACTCCAGCCTCTCCTGGGCTTGGCAGAAGAGGATTGACAGAGCCCTGGGTCTTCCCTCCCAACTATTACCATCAAGAAGCAAGAGCCTAGGGTCACATTTCTAGTGGATGGACGCTTTGTTACCTTCCTCTTAGACACTGGTGCCACATTTTCAGTCTTGAGGAAGTATTGGGGTCCTACCACACCCTCACAAACTCCTATTGTCGGGGTTGGAGGTAAACAGATTTTCCCTTGAAAAACACCCCCCTTATCATGTTATATTCAGGGATCCCTTTTGTCCTTCACACAGTCCTTTCTCGTTATGAGCCACTGCACCATCCCCCTTCTGGGAAGGGACATACTCTCATTATTGAAGGTCACCATTCACATATCACCCCACATCTCCCCTGCCTCTCATTTCCTCATGATGTTCCTAGGGACAGATACACCTCCATCATGCACTCTCCCACGACTATCTAAACCAGTTAATCCTGAGGTTTGGGACACAACTACACCCTCTATGGCTAAATGCAGTCCTATTCATATTGTCTTATGGGACCCTTGAAGATATATTAGTCAACCACAATATCCACTCACAACCACAGCCCTCCTCGGATAAGAACCCATCATCCAGGATTTAGTACAGAAGGGGTATCTTAGGCCTACACACTCTTCTTTCAACACCCCCATTCTGGCAGTTAAGAAACCTAACGGGTCCTAAAGGCTGGTTCAAGACCTTCACCTCGTCAATTCCTCTGTGGTCCCATCCACCCGCTAGTGCCCAAACCCTACACCCTTCTCTCTCAGATCCCTGCTACTACCACCCACTTCTTGGTCCTAGATTTAAAAGATGCCTTCTTCTCTAGTCCCTTGTCCTCAGAATCTCAGGATATCTTTGCTTTTACGTGGACTGACCCTCATACCCGCCATTCTCGTCAGCTTACCTGGACCGTCCTCCCGCAGGAATTCAGGGACAGTCCACATCTCTTTGGCCAGGTTCTTGCCCAGGACCTCACATCCTTTCACCCCACCTGACCTGACTCTACTCTCCTTCAATATGTCAATGACCTTCTTCTATGTAGTCCCTCTAGGGAACACTCTCAATCCCACACAGCCCAGCTTCTCAATTTCCTAGTGGATAAGGGATATAGGGTGTATCCCCACAAGGCCCAGGTTTTCCAGTTTTATGTCACCTACCTTGGTTTTCACCTTGCACCCAGGAAAAAGGAAATAACACTGGATAGGAGGCAACTCCTTTCTAATCTTCCAGTGCCTCATACGAAAGCCGAAATACTATCATTCCTAGGACTAGCAGGTTATTTTAGGGCCTGGATCCCAAATTGCTCTCTTCTAGTCAAACCCCTGTATGGCCTAGCAAAGGGACCCCCTGGTGAATCTCTTGCCTCCTCCCCCCACTACCACTTTCGCAGACTTCAGCAGCTCCTCTTAAAGGCACCCTCCCTTCACCTTCCCGAACTTTCAAGATGGTTTCATCTATATGTTCATGAAAAAGGGGGGCAAGCACTTGGGGTCTTGGGTCAAAATTATGGGCCTACATTTGTACCTGGGCATATTTGTCCAAACAATTAGACCCTACCATCCATGGGTGGGCCCCTTGCTTAAGAGCTCTGGCTTCTGGACAAATTTTACACAAAGAAGCCTCTAAG